GGAAATGTGAATACAGTTAATAGAAAAAGGGTTATAATACTAGATTACGTAATATGAATAATAACAATAACAATGGATTTGGTGAATATAATAAGATGATTAAAATGTTTTTGATATAATAATTAAAGGTCATAGAGGTGTACAAAAATAAACTGATATGATGAGCGTTCATGAATAAAACAATGAGAAAAACGTTTAGGATAATCATTATTTTCGATACAGCTTTCGAGAAAATTGATCTCACATTTCACTAACGCAAGCTTGACGGTGTAACGTAAGAATTCATTGAGCCCTTTCATCGTCATAAGGTCCTTGCATTTCTTCAATTGTACTTGTTGAATGCTTGATTTCGAATTCTAAATACAATACATTCGTTAGTGCTTATCTAGTACTTCTTGATCCGATTACGTTACTTCTTGGATTCTTAGTTCATACTATAATCCAAATACTCCAAACTATCACTTTAGTTTGGATGGATAATTATAGAATTGAAAGAGAATTTCTTGATGAGAATATTCTTCCCTAATATACATCTATATTCGTGTTAAAATTTAATTGGGGGAATTTTAAATTATATCTTGAATAGAATTTACAGTATACAACTATATGAAGTACTGTAGTGAATGAGAACACAGGCGAGGATAACCAAATGTATTTGAATAGGGAATTAGAGAATCTTTTAGTAAAATCTGATAATCATACAGTAAATACATCATTTGTAAAATGTCAATCAATTGTCTCAAACTTGATTATTTCTTCGTTCAATCATTCTCTCTCCTTAGACCTTCTGCCACTAGTCAATTCACTTTTGGTTGGTGATACATACTACTTATATCTGTCAACATCAGTAGTACACACCACAGTACAAATACATACTGCATGAATGAATTGTTTGTCTTTCAACCGGAGAAATATTACATTTAGTAATGAGATTCAACTAAAAATCTCGTACATTGACTATGGTAGTTAACATCACCAATCGCTTACTCCAGTAATTATTAGTAGGATAAAGGTTAGTCGGATAACTGAATGATTATAAGACAAATGCTTGAACTAATAACACAAATTCAATCTTAATTTGAATATGTCGTGTTCATTAATCTTTTTCGTGGATTAGTTGAAGTTAGACATAAACACCTTTGGATAACGGCCACCTCAGTAGTCTAGTGGTTAAGCGCTAGCGCGCGAGACTGATAGGTCCTGGGTTCGACTCCCGCGAGGTGGGGTCGTGGGTGCACACAGTCAAGGAGGGGTCCCACAATAGAACGAAGCGGCCGTCCAGTACTTTCAGGTTTTCCATGGCGAGCTAGCTTCAAATGACTCCTGAAATTACTACAATCTCCACAAAACCCCTTCTGATAGTAACCTTTTCCTTATTGAAAAACCGAAGCTACTTTTTTTATGTAACAATGTAAAACTTCCGGTCTACACTTCAAGTGCTTTAAAAGAACATTAATTACTTTGAGTCTTAAACGTTTTTCGATTGATATCCATTTGTGACATGATTAAATGAAGTAATACATTCACCGAACACCTCATACAACTAAACTTCTGATGTATGGTAATGAAATTAAAGTATGATTGGTCAATGAGCCTGGGTCAAACAGTCACAGCGTTGGGAATATAATTTAAGGACGAACCAATCATGAATAAGATAACAGGTTTCGGCACGAAATTCACTGATCCATTTGGCTGAGTCAAGTTTTGTCATTATAGACGATGTCAGTACGTGATTAAAACATTAAATCTAATTTCTAACCTTAACCATCAACTGTAAATCGTAATTCGAATTCCTCACACAGGTTTATAACCCTTAGTTGGTCCTAATTATTAGGTGGACACCCTCAAGGTCACTTTAGCGTTGCTCAAGTCGTCCATAAATCATAGTCTCACTGTCACAGCCTACGGAGTATTAAATATTTGGTTTAACGTCTTATTGGTGATTTCTATTCTGGACTCTTTGTGTATGACTGCTTGTAATTATATTGAATAAAGTATACACTAGTGTAAACCTGGTTCTCTATTCTGGGTTGTGAATCCTGGTTCTGATATAACATGATTAGTCTTATTAACGTAAAGGCGAGGATTGGCAAAGAAAGGGCCGCATTCCTACAATTGAAGAACATATGCATCTCAAAACAATTGTCACCTAATGTTGAAGTCACAAACTTCAATACGAACGTCAAGGCAGTTCTACTGTACGGAGCTGAAACTTGGAGGATTACTACAACCATCATCAGGAAGGTATAAGTATTTATAAACAGTTGTCTAAGCAAGATACTCAACATACATTAGCCGAATACCATCAGCAACAGCCTTTTGTGGGGGAGAACAAACCAGCCTCCAGTTGAAGAGGAAATTAGGAAAAAGCAATGAAAATAAATAGGACATACATTACGGAAATCATCAAACTGCATCACTGAGAAAGCCCTAACTTGGAATCCTGAAGGGAAGCGAAAAAGTGGAAGCCCAATGAACACATTATGCCGGGAAATGGAATCAGATATGAAAAGGATGAATAACAACTGGAAAGGATTGCATAGGCAGGGTTGGATAGAGAATGCTGATCGGCAGCCTATGTTCCATTGGGAGTAACATGCGCAAGTACGTAAGTAATATACGTCTAACAGAGGAAAATATTGAAAACCACCAGTTATATCAATGTCGATATATATTACTGAAATGGTTAATTTAAATGAATTCTCAATGTATTAGCTTGAAAATAAAGTGTATTTGGTAGTTTTTTATGGTTACTTGGTCAGTATAACAAGATTATAACAACAAGCAAGATTGTTGTTCTTATTAGATAATTGTTTATTTATGCACAACTAATCAATAAGAACAAAGTTGTATATCAACTAAAATTTCACCAAATCAATAAATAAATTTAAATGTTGACAGATAGCACTATTTAATCAATAATTTGGTGTAAGTATACGATTTACAAAATCAATACATCAACTAGTTCTAACTAATCACTGACTTATATATTTTAGTTCTGTTATGTCACGATAAGTATGATGAGTAGTAATTTTTCGGATCCATTTACAGACCAGTACTATACGTATATTTTTATCGTATAATTGTTAAATGACTGAACTATTCATATTCATGCCGCTCTTATTATGAGCTTTATTTTGACCCAATCAACTGTTATTATACGGTTTACCATTCTTGAGTTATGCCTCGTCTTTCAATTACAATCTCCCACATTCACAACCATATTTGGCTAAATCTTGTACAAATGTTACTTCCCATTTTATGGTACGATGTAGTCTGTCTGGACAGTAATATAAACCCAGTATGTTTGAAATAAACGATTCATACTTCAGAGGCTGAAATTGGTGTCCTGGACTTAACTGGCTGGTCTAGGCTAGGCGGGAAGCAGGACCGATAAGTACTCCAGACTGCTCGTACGGGTTTTATGCGTCATTGGTTCGATCGATAATTCATTGCTCTCTAATTGGCGTTATCATTACGTTATACATTAGCAGGGTGCTCAGGCCACAAGTTATAACACGTTTTACCTAACAGTGGACACTAACAAAGAGGAACATAAAGCACTGAGCTACTAACAAGTACATTATAACTAACTGGTCATTTGTCATTTACACTCAATCTAAATAAATAAATCTTTCAATTTCTGACTTATTTAATAAAGAGTATTCCCTAACCCTTGAACAAATGAATTGAATGAGGTTCGTAAATAAACTGTGACGAGAACCAACGAAATAAAAATGAATTCATGCTATTCTACTAGAATGTTTGTTCTCGCTCTTTTCAAAATGATAAAGGGAACTATGTGTATGAAATTATCGAATGATAGTACTGATTGAATTAAGTACTAGTGTGTGTGTATGTGTATGTATTAGTTAGTGAATAACTGATTTCTTAAAATGACACTTGAGTCCACATACCAACACTTGACTAACAATATACTCTTGATATATTGCTTGAATTTGAGAAGCTCTCTCCCTCTCTCTGACACCAATCACGACTATCAGCTTGTAATTTAAAAATAGTTACAAATAAATCCCTGAAAATTACTTACTAACATTCTATTGGTAAGCCAATCAGAAATGACCTGTTGAGAAATCATCGGTGGCAATCAGGAGTGACCTAAAGGTTAATGGCATTTCACTGGCTAAGAAATAGACAAATTTCCTAAGGGTTAGAGTGATATATTTGAGTATTTTATTAGCCCAAGTAGTCAGTTGAGGGGTTAGCACGCAGTACACTGTGTATCAGTATCAGATCCCATACACTATCCATCATAATATTGCTATTTAAGAATTCTCAATTTCTGTTTTATTCGTCCTGAAACGCTTCTGTTAGGAGTTGTGAACAAAGAAGTTTTCATTCCTATTGATTAGTTGCTGTTTTAACATGTTGACTTGTTCTTTCCGTACTTGCAGCAAAAGGCTGTATGCTTGGTTTATTTTTACTTGATCTCATTTATTAAATTTTTCTACTACTCAACTATTAATTACAGATAATAGACTTGAACCCCTATTCAGTTAATTTGATTTTATGCACAATGGAGTCGCATACCACTAACACTGATCTCTATTTAGTGTGTTCAACAAATTCATTATTTCACAGATTGAAATCATGAGTCAGTTGAAGCTAGACCACCATTGGAAACCTGAAAGCACTGGACGGCCGTTTCGTCCTAGTATGGGACTCCTCAGCAGTGCGCACCCACGATCCCGCACCACGCGGGGCTCGAACCCAGGACCTACTGGCTTCGCGCGCGAGCACTTAACCACTAGACCACTGAGCCGGCATCCAACGGTGTTAATGTCTAACTTCAACCAATCCACGAAGTTGCGCCACCGTACACCATTGTCTTCAGTGAGTTCCTATCTCACAACAGACCTGGTTGAACTCCACTGGTAACGGCTTCTCACTAGAACTTCGGGAGTTTTTCCTGAAGTCAGTCATTCATTATTATTATATGAAGAAAACAAAAACTATTCATAGAACAGAACAAAGTAATTGCAATTTTAGTTGTTTTTTTATTATGAAAAAAAGTGAGTATATTGGTTATAGTAGTAACCTCACTGTAGACAATTACATGAGACAGACAGATATGGTCTCCAATCATATTGTATATTCACAATAAGTGATTTAGATAATTACATAATATTCCATATTTATGTTTGTTTGTTTCTAGACAAGAATATGGGTCAAGTATGATAACTTGATCGATATAAATAAGTAAGCATTATTATCTTTACAATCTTAAAGAAGAGGATATTGATAATATTTGACCATTAATAATAATGTTGAATTAACTAACTAACTACACTGAATGCAGCAGTTAAAAATTGTTCATAACTAAGTTGTGCCATTCCATTTCGTTGATAATCATAAGGTCTGAATACATCAGTTAAATTCTGTAACAATAATAATAATAATAGTAGTAATGATAAAATGAATAGTTTAATAGAAGGTAAATGGTATACTGGCTTAAAAAAACAAACAATATCATTAATACAATGAACTTTTTAATTTAAATTAAGTAATTCTCTAGGTACTTAGATATAGGCAACAATCAAAGTGTAAGGTTCAATGATATTACCCGGTGTTGGGATATTCAGGAAAATATTCCAAAAATTATTCTATTAAGTCTAATGCTATTCTTGGACTTGGAGATGGTATTATTCTCTTATTGGTCAGTGCTTATTTCACGTGTCATTTTCCTACTGGTCAATATTGTACAATGTTATTTTCTATTTTATGGTACGATGTGGTCTGCTTGATTAGTATATAAACAGAGTGTGTTTGAAATATAAGGATTCATATATCCGAGGCTGAGACTTGCGTTCTGGACTTAACTGGCTGGGCTAGACAGGGAAGCGGGGCCAATCAGAACCCTAGGTCGTTCTACGTGTTTGCGCGTCTTTGGTCCGATCAATAATTCGCTACCCTCTAATCTGCTGCCGTCATAGTTATAACACCCGGTTACTTAAATCGAAACAATTAGAGCGGGATTAGAATATGAATTAGAAGTCGAACGTTTTACCCACCAAGCCACTGCTCCATAGTTGTGTAATTAATATCCTTACCTATTATTAGACTGAATTAATGACAATAGTGGAAATGAGTTAACAATGATAAATGAATAATATTATGATTAAATATCATAGAATGTAAAATTTTACAGGTTAGGTTCCTTAGTAAAACGGAGGTTTAGCGATGATTGAACACAGTTTTCAACTAACAGATTTGAATTTCTAGCACCGATGTGATGGAGAAGAATTAAGCCTAATAATTAGATCCTAATTTATTAAAGATCGAGTAACCTACAAGGCTGATATCTAGTAAATGAGTCACAAAGAAAGTGAAATTGACTACACAGTAAGTAAGCAGCTTGACCCAAGGAATTCAACTCATTCCAATGAGAATTATGAATGGTAACCTTTTAGAACTGTTTATGGACCAATACGTTACATATATTTTTATTGTATGATTGGTAAGTAGCTAAACTATGCATATTCGTGTTCCTCTTATTAAAAGCTTTGTTTTGACCCATAGACTATTATTATACGATTTACTGTTCTTGAGTTGTGCCCAGTCTATTAATTACGGTCTCCCACATTCACAGTCATTTTTGGCTAGGTCATGCATAAATGTTATTTTCTATTTTATGGTACGATGTGGTCTGTTTGAAATGCATGATCCTATCACAGAGGCTGAGACTAGTGTTCTGGACTCAACAGACAGGGAGAAGGACTGATAAGGACTGTAGACTGCTCGTACGGGTTTATGAGTCATTGGTCCGGTCGATAAATCACTGTTCTCTAATTGGCGGTATCATTACGTTATATATTAATAAGACTTAAGTTATAACAATCCAATAGGTCTGACTACGTTACAGTGGGTTAGAAATATATTTAAACAGCGAATAAAACACAATAATGACTGTTTTAGTTCTATATAAAATCGTAGTATGATTATACAAGAAGCTTATTTTCCTTAGACTGCTAGTCTGTTTAAGAATTCACATCATTACACGCAGACACACGCATAAAAATTCGAAAACTGACCATTATGTTAAACCATTCAATATAAATGAAAAATCACTATGTGGGGACAAGAATGTACGGACGTCTCTTTATGAATTAAATAAAATAGTGACCACCAATGCTAAGTGGAGGATGAATTGTTTTTAATAATGTAGAAAGCATATACAGGTATAATTCGTTACTGTGTACGATGATCAGCTCATATACAACTTGCAGATATTTTTTATCAAATAATGAACACTTAGAATACGACTGAAAACCAGAGAATAATAAACATTTGTTTTAGTCTCCTAATAAGCCTCAAACTAGGAAATCAATAAGTGATTATATAGCCTTCAGTATTCAGTAATAAGGATAGTGGGTCGGCGGACCTGTGTTAATCCTTGCAGCCCGTTTTCCAGTTGAAACACAGCTTCTCTGAAATATTCACTGATGGGACTGATACCATTTGTTCGGAGAGGGTGTTCCAATCATTGGCTACTCGATGAGAAAAACGGAACCCCACTCTGAGTTTATGAGATCGCGGGTTTTGAACCTTCTTGCTATGGCCTCGGATAAGATTAGTTCTGGAGGGGGCGAAAAGATGAGACGTATTAACCCTCAAATTGTTATTAAGCATACGGAATGTCAACATCAGGTCACTTCACGTTCTACAATACGATAGGGGAAAAGGTCCAGGAGTTTTAAGCACCCATTGTAAGGGAGATTGGAAATAACCTTTAATAACTTTGTTCCCACACTTTAGACATACTCGAATGTGTTGACAGCAGGCTGCTGTCAAAACATCTATCTGACGTTGTAAGCTCTATTTATTTGATATACGGCACGTAGAAATCTCCAACGATGAAACAACAACCGGCCTTACTCCAAGAACAGATATGACTTAAGACAAAGTCTTCAGCAAGACAAAGTGGATTACAGTATATTCCTCTTGAAGTCACTAACCCAGTAAGGAGAAATAATAAGAAGAAACAGTTACCTCTAAGGGAAATGTAGGACAACAGGACAATCTTGAGGAATGCTGTTTGATGGAGTCAGTCTACATGACAGTTACTAGTAAGCTCTGACTTAATCAATCATACCGCAACAAACAAGTTTCAGTAAACTGATAGTCTTTGATATATCTTTCAGTGGGAGATGCAACTGAAAAATCTCTCAAACGGTGAGAAGGAAGAAACGGTATATACTACAATAAATACATCAACATTTGAGCGTTCTTATTCATTCTCATTTTCAAAACCTTAATTAATATATCTGTTAATTTGACGAATGATATTCGGTTATAATCCATAAGATTTGTGAAATTAACGACTCATAACTTGCTTCTATGCATCGTCTAGAGTTAATTACACGCTTCTCAACTTCAGTAACATTTACAAACCTAATAACGATATAGTATATAAGATGTTGGCTGATAGTGGGTTAGTGAAAAGTACTTGAAGCATGTTCGACTTAATTGAAAACAGAATAAACTACTCTAGGTTGAAAATTGATAGTCCATTCTGCGAAACGTAATGGTCAATCTACATATGCAGCACGATGAAGTGCTGCGGTTGAGCCTCCTGTTACAAAGGATAAGGTAAACAAGTCCTTCATATTGGCTAGGTAAATAAGTACACATGGGTTTCTGTAACACAGTATCCAACAAACGGAAGATATTCTAGGATCTTGGGTTAGTGGAACTATTTTTTCGATTAGAAATAAGGTTAAGACACTGAAAGCATTTGTAGCAATTCCTACTTATGGACAAATATATTAATCTAACCTTTCTGAGTTACTAGGTACATATATGTTTGACCTTGTCAGCTGTTCACTTATTACCTTCAGAGAACTTGTATGTACATAGATTTGTCTATCACATATTCTATTCACTAACTATCTTTAGCTTGCTTTTATCCATACGAAACAATGCACAATCACACTCATGGAAATTGAATAGGCTCGTTTTGCCTGCTCTTACCTGCATATTCTTATTGTCTGTTCGAAAAACGGATTAATTTGTCTATCAGAAAGTCAACATAAATCACATAGGTGTGTAATAATATGAATTGTTACAGAGTGGCTTGCAGTATAGAGCACAATTTTAGCAGAGCGGCAATAACACATCGTAAAATTAAATCTTTAGAATTGGTTGCGCATTAGAAGGAAAATAAAGTCAAACTGAAAGATTAACAAGGGGAAATGGAAGGAAATTTAGAAAACATTGGAGACAGTTATTGATAATCCCGAGTGATGTTAGAGTACTGATAATCAATAGTTCTCAAATGCTTTAATCATGAAAGAGGACTACTCGATGAAAGTGAAGAAAAACCTATTTGAGTATCAGTGACCTTTTAGGTCACGGAGCTTGACCGAGAAGCCCAATAGATAGCGAGTTGATCGTCTTGCTAATAGTATTTTTCGCTACATACGCTTTGTACTTCCCAAAACTTTCAGGAGGGATCAGAAATCATTAGTCAAGGGAGTGTATGCTCTGTTTACGGTTGAATGTTTGTAATTTGTTTTTCTAGCTGTACATCATTACTAGGGGTGTTAATAATCCATCCGAAACATGTGAAACCTATTACACTACAAGACAATCAAGAGCATAACTTTGATGTCTGACTTTAAGTTTTCTGCTACCCCACGGAACTTTTGGCATGGTAAGATCTCGAGCAACAAATTCCTCAGGTTATATATAGTCTCAGTCACCATGACAAGCAAAGTAAAAACTGAAAGCAGAAGTTGTGTCGCATTTCAGAACAAATACATATCTAGCTTTCAAATTTGGTTAATCATAAAGAAAATAAGGACGTGGGCCAAGTCAAGTTGCCACACTATACATCATCAGGGTAAGTTGGACAAGATGAAAAGTAAAGTAATGAAAACATTACCGATAGCCGAAGGGATTATGATATTCCAGAATGTCCGAACAACTAACATTCCTAACACGATAAATAAGTTACACAGGTATTTTAAGGCCTTTTATCTTTATTTATTTTCGTATATCTATCATTAAAACGTTTTGACTCACAGAAATAGGAAACAATATTTTGAAACTTACCTTTAAACAAACACATGCCAAGATAAAATTATCAAATCCTACTGATCCGCGGCGATTTTTATCGAATTTTCTAATTAAGAATTGTGAAAATTCTGGAGACAATCGATAACCAAAGCTTGTTAAAGCAGTATGAAACTCTCGACAGTCGATTGTACCGGATCCATCTCTGTCATATGATCGAAAACATTGTTGCCACTGTTGTACGTACTCAAATAGTTGAGAGAATTCATAGACATTTATAGTGCCATTCATATCTTTGTCAAACATACATATCATCAGTTCAACCGTTTTGATATTAAATGATGTCCCCAATCCTGTTTTGTGTGGGAGTTGTTAAGATTAATATTTCGGAAAAAATAAAAAAACACAAGGATGCTACAAAATTAAACTATAAACAGACAATCATATAATACAGTTGCCAAATAATTACATTTACGTGAGAAATCGATCAGCGTAGAAACAGATTTTTATCGAACAGCGAACCTTACAATCAGCAACAGTCAATAAGAATAAAAACCTTGTTAAAGGAGTTAATTATGGATTTAATCCAATCAAAGTGTTCCACTTTAGTGTGTACGTAAATCAAACAGTTAACTACCTGTTAATAACGAGCACATTTTATTGGGTTTGCGTAGTCAGATGAAACTATATATGACCCTTTAAAATATCCCATAAAGGCCTTGCGTGATAACTAAGGGGGAATTAGTTTGATCAGTATGAATTTCAAGGTCTGTTTTAAGAATCAAAAAACGGTCGGTTAGATTTCTTCAAAAGCAAACCTTCTGCATATAGGCAACCTTTAAACCTAATCCTAGAAGTACTAAATGACGTTTTAGTCTTAAGCAACTTTTAGAACACAGGCTAAAAGTTATTTACCGAAGTTTAATTGGTCTACTTAAAACTAATGATGAACTGACATTTTGGTCGAACTCGTCAGCAGCGTCATTAGGGGTTGTACACTTTTCCCACTGTCACTCGACTTTTTTCTTCATGGAGGTGACTCACAACTTATCTGAGTCTCCAACGACTGGTTCCACAATTTAAGACAGTCAAGTCATCTGGCTACGGAGAAAATATATTCTGTTTTAGTCGACACTGTAATATAATATACTTTGATGCATGTGTTTTAGATTGTAGGCCAGAATGAACAAAATATATGCGAATAATGCCTCCAACCAGAACCTTTCATAATTTCATTCTGATGTGCGTCCATATGAAACTAAAAACCAATTAGCGCAGTTGAGCTATTACCAGGGCACGAAGTTTACGGTTATATGAAGTGAACGAGCGTAGCGTAATAAATGCGAACATCGATACTTGATTTTGTAGACCCGAATGACGATGCTCTATACTAACTCCAGTTAGTTTAAGTACGGATACGCCAGTTTTTTTCATCGCTGCTGATAAGTACAAATGAAACACATCAGTTCAAACTATTATGATGATAGAGGTGTGTAAGCTTATTGAGTATCTCAGTGACAAACTAGTGTCAAAGCCACTGGTTTTTCAGCGTGACTTCTTGTTTTACCTGAAAAAAACCTTAAGTCAATACTCATGAACAACAACGAAGGGTTTTTTATTGAGAAGCAAATATGTTACATTTCTCTCAAGTGCTGGACACTGACGAAAAAGGGAAATAGTTTGTCGACAAGAATGTTTCAGACTAACCACGAGTTTCTGTGAGGTGGATACGTTTCACACAGCCAGAAGAACTTACTTGTGAACCAATGCATTTTGCAGTAAATGCTGGTACTAAGTGAGTGTAAACAATATAAAAGCTGACTGTGCTCAAACAGCCAGTCCATGTCTTATCCAAGATACTAACACATTCAACTGTGTCTAACGTGTGGGAACAAAGTTATTAAAGGTTATTTCCAATCTCCCTTACAATGGGTGCTTAAAACTCCTGGACCTTTTCCCCTATCGTATTGTAGAACGTGAAGTGACCTGATGTTGACATTCCGTATGCTTAATAACAATTTGAGGGTTAATACGTCTCATCTTTTCGCCCCCTCCAGAACTAATCTTATCCGAGGCCATAGCAAGAAGGTTCAAAACCCGCGATCTCATAAACTCAGAGTGGGGTTCCGTTTTTCTCATCGAGTAGCCAATGATTGGAACACCCTCTCCGAACAAATGGTATCAGTCCCATCAGTGAATATTTCAGAGAAGCTGTGTTTCAACTGGAAAACGGGCTGCAAGGATTAACACAGGTCCGCCGACCCACTATCTTCATTACTGAAGACTAAGATGAAGAAATACGAATGCATTCAACAATTTGTAAACTAACCGTTGGATAATGCCTGCTGCAATTCATTCGCAGTTATGGCTCCCTTTCTGTTCCTGTCAATTCTATCATGGGGATTTATTGTTACAAAACCCAAGTTATACTTACTGGTTGAATACGTTCGCAGCTACACTACTTACGCCAGGTTGTTGCATATTCAAAAGTAGGTAATTGTCAGGGTCAAATAACTGAAACAACGATAGCGTACAAAAACCCAGTCATTAGATTAAAAACATTGTTACGAATAAGTTAGAGTATAAATACCTCCTTATATTCGCATCTGCGTTGTCGTGTTTGGTTCTTGAGTGTATGGAAATACAGATCGTTCATATCGATTATTCAAGAAACTTAGATTGCAGAAGTTTTGCTGAGAAAAGTGTGTAGTGGCAAAAAAATCCCCAAAACCAGTAGCTCTATAAGTCTTCGACATTTTATGCCGACCACATTGGTTCTAATGGGCTCACCTAGGTGAAGGCGCTCGGTCAGGCATCCGCACCAGATCACGAGTGGGAACGCTGTGCTCAACGTCTCCTGCAACCGCTAGCCAGTTTAGATCATTCGCTTCTTGATATATTGATAACCTGACAGATATATACTCGAACCTCCTCACTTCTGACCCTTGACTTTGCTGAGTAATCACTATTCAACTACAGGTTTCACTGGTTAAAGTGTTGTTAAACTAAAAATAACTGTAGCATTTTAAGTGAATAAGTTAAGGCATCTAGAATTACTGACTTTCATAAAATTTGTAATCACGTACAAGCTTGAAGGTCTGAATGGGATAAACTGATGTTAGAACTAACAGCACGGTTTCAGGAAGGGTTGCACTTGTATTACCAACCTGCTGACTGCGGTGGACAGATGGACAAACATCCTTGATCACAAGGGGAAGGTTGACATCATCTACCTAGATTTCTCAAAAGCTTTTGATAAATTTAATCATACATGTTTTATCAATAAGCTCAAACGATTGGGTATCAGACCATCTCTAATCGAATGGCTCACTTCATACCTGAAAAATCGACATTTTAATGTCAGGGTTAATTTCACTTTATCTCAGGCTATGGAATGTCATGGTGGGGTCCCCCAGGGCTCAGTACTAGGACCTCTTCTCTTCTTGATCTACATAAATGATCTTCCTCAACAGGTAACGTCAGACTTATTACTTTTTGCCGTCGACGTGAAACTTCGGAGAGAGATACGCAACCAAGACGATATACAGGCACTTCAGGAGGATCTGACTCGACTTCAAAGTTGGGCAGACGGAGTCCTGGTTCCCCATGATTTAAAGTCTTACGCTAACTGTGACAAAAATGCCTTCCGAGCAAACCTTGCACTGGTAACATCGAAGCGCGTTTTTGACCAGTTTGACGGAAGAACTTTCCATATAATCTTCAATAGTTTTATCCGTCCCCATTTAGAGTACGGACACATAGAATTTCCCCCTCACTCCAAAAGGATATGAACACTCTGGAGCGTATTCAACGGCAAGCCACGAAATCAGTCCCGGGACTCAAATTTAAACCTTATGAAGAGCGCCTCCAATCCCTTAACCTTAACCCATTAGAGTATAGGCGTCTTAGAGGTGAACTTCTGATGGCTTATAGTATCCTTAACACTTCGTGACATCCTCTCAAACACCTAGTTATGCTTAGTTTCAACACTAACCTAAGGGCTAACACGCAGAAATTGGAGACACAACATAGCAGAACGGACTGTAGACACAACTTCTACTCCTTAAGAGTTGTCAAATGCTGGAATTCGCTGCCGGTCGAGCTAGTCCAAGCGACTTCCCAGGAGTCCTTTAAGAGGCAACTTGATCTATTCTTAAGGACTAAGAATAGTGTCACACTATGATTAACTAATTTCTTTTCCTCTTTTATTGTTAACATACCTAGGTTCCTACCTGGAGGATTTGGTGATCCCCTGCTACTAGACACGGAAGCCTATTAAGCGAGAGCTTCTTCTATTCCGTCTACAACAATTTGAACCATTTGAACTACAATTAGATCTGGAGGTGGATTTCATAGCTTCCGAATGTGGTGTATTTCGTAAGGTATGTTACATGGTGAAATATGTGAAGCGCTCTCCTATGTATTACCTGAGTGTACTAGCTATCAGCCATTAGAATCAGCCGGACACTTTATGCTATAAAAGCTGGTTGAAAAGAGACTGTTAATCAAATTTCTAAGACAACTTAATAATTGGCATTATAGTAAGCCCATTATATTATTTTACTACCTACTTGTTGCGATTTAGACATTTGGTTCACTATGTAATAGTGTATAAGAGTCTGTTTGAAACCGTATACGTACCTCAATCATTATCTACCCCTTTACTGATTATAAACTTGAACAATCAATAAATTTACCCACGTATCTATTAACATATATATGCTTTGAATTTTTACTCACTCTCACTTTCCAGCACGCTAGTCTGCCTGCGAATTTCATTTATGACTATGAGCACATTCTACCAACAGCTGCTGTTCGAGCTATTGCATATTCTCGAGTAAATTTACAATGCTATCAAGAGAATTCACTCATTAAAATACACATTGAATGGGACAATAAATATCGAAGTCAATTTGAAAGGGATTAATCTCCACAAAATTGGTGGCTTCTTCGACATTACGGAGTGCCTGAAAAGATAATCAATATCATACGGAATTCTTGATGTATTAAACTGCAAAATCGTGCATGGAGAACAGCTGACAAACTCGTTTGAAGTAAAGACCGATGTCAGGTAAGGCTGCTTACTCTCACCCTTCCTCTTTCTCCTCGTAATTGACTGGATCATGAAGACCTCAACATCTGGGGGAAAGCATGAGATACAATGGCCAGTTAAAATGCAGCTGAACTATCCAGACTTCGTAGATGATCTGGCTGTTCTATCGCACATGCAACAACAAATGCACGAGAAGACGACCAGTTTAGCAGCAGCCTTAGCAGTAATAGATCTCAGCATACACAAAGGGAAAAGCAAGATTCTCCGATACAACACAACATGCACCAATCAGATCACACCTGATGGAGAGGCTTTGGAAGATGTATAAACATTTACATATGTGGACAGCATCATTGATGAACACAGTGGACCAGTAGGGCCAATGAAATGTCACTAAGCCCTAGCCAAATCATCCGGCAGTCGGGTCGTTAAATATCGAACAAATCGTCGATCCTCTCAAGGTCAAGGACAACCAACGCTCATCAGTTAGTCGTATACCATGAACTGGCCCATGCGGCAATGGTCTTACTTTCGATCGTATCTACTTTACCTAATATATTTCTGTAATAACGTCCTCTGTGTTGTAGTCTTCAAAGCATCTATGGTACCTTGATACGTTAATGGGGTAGCCCGCGTAGGGTCCTGACCATAAGGTGTGACTTCGGCATTTGTTAGTTTGTCACATCATTCACGTCTAACTCAAGTAGGCCTCCAATCATTTCGATATAGATCATCTAAGTTGGCTATCTACAGACCTGATGAAGATGTGAATGTGTGGATCAGCAAAGCAAAAGTAGCATATCTACAACTGAAGAACATCTGGGACTCAAAACAACTGTCTATCAACCGATATGAAAGTCGGATTTTTCAATACAAATGTCAAGCCAGTTCTACTGTATGGGAGGAAACTTGTAGAACTACGAAAGCCATCATCCAGAAGATACAAGTGTTTGTTAACAGTTAGCTATGCAAAATACTTCGGATCCGTTGGTCAGATACTATCAGCAAGAACCTACTGTAAGAGAGAACAAACCAGGTCCCAGCGGAGGAAGAAATCAGAGAGAAGTGCTCTAAGTGGATAGGACACACACTGAGGAAAGCGCCAAACTGCATCACGGTGCAAGCCCTCACTTGGAATCCTCAACGACAAAGGAGAAGAGGAAGAGCAAAGAACTTATTACACCGAGAAACGGAGAAAGACATGAGAAGAATGAATAGCAAACGGATAGAACTAGACAATAAGGCTTGTGACAGAGTGGGCTGGAGAATGCTGATCGGTGGCCTATTCCCCACTGGGAGTAACAGGCATGAGTGATTAAGTAGTGGAGTTACAACACGCACCATTTCTCGGAAATTTTTTTACACATTGTGAACAGTTTTATATTGGAATTGTTATAATAATTGTTAACAATCTGTTGACACTGCTAATAAACTCAGTTATTATTATTACGTTATATTCGCATGTATAAACTCACAGTGGAAGTTTTTTCTATGAGTCCTCTGTTACTTGCTATTGCCTCATTTTCATATCACAATCCTTGGCTTATTATTGTCGCTGTTGTTACTATTGTTATTTGTCCGTATAATGTTGCTTAGTAAAGCTGTAACCCCCCGATCTAAATCCGCTTATGTGGGTGCCGTATCTGTATCTGTTCTTCCATTTAACTCCATAAAAGCTGGATTCTGATTTGCAAGGCTATAAATCTTTTTTGTTGCACATGGAAACAAGTCTAGACACGGAATATATTTACTAAAACCTGTTGTTGCCAAACGACATTGTAGAACAAAGTGTTAGCCTAATTTTCGAACCATATTCGGACACCATATGATAATTTAAAAAGAGAGGTCATTCGCGTCAAATCTCTGACCATCCAGTAGACAGTCTACCAACTTTTGGCTAGCGTATAGCATTCACCTTCTCAGTTGAAATGGGACACAACGAGTATGCTGGGGAATTTTCTTACAGACAAACGCCTAATTTATCAGTTGTGGGTCAAACATATTCCTTAAGACATTCGATTAATATCGGCCATTGGACCCAAAGGAGTATATGATGGTGAACTAGCAGACATAGCCGATGAAATATATTGACGAACCAAAACCCACTCTGTATCATACGTACACATAAACTCAGCTGACGAAATCACCGATAGTACTTGGGCATCACCACTCCGAAAAGAACTCTTCCTATGTTAGACCCTTTGACGACTGTAGAGCTCTTGACAGTCGGACGACACCAGAGAGATAACCTCTTTCACACTTACATGGCTTTGCTCACAATCTGTTCGGCATAACAATGTTTCCGAGGGTTAATCTCTTCCGTGCACATTAGCACATTTCAGTTCACCGAGACAATACCCCTAAAACCGCTACTACCGCTCCATACGAACTATATGACTTTGACCACAAGCCTTTTGAACTAAGAAATGATGCAGAGAGTGTCCGGCGCTTTATCAGT